TGTACTTTCAACGCACGAACGCTTGCATCCGAAGCTCACATCGAAGATCTGATGATGCAGGCCAGGAAGATCAAGTACGACGTCATCGGACTGACCGAGACGAGAAGGCACCGCCCGCTACACGCCGTTTTCGATACTGGAGAAGAACTGTTCCTTGGAACATGCGACAGCAGAGGCGTTGGCGGTGTGGGTGTCCTCGTCAACACGCACTTGGCCATAAACATCGATTCGTACGAAAGCCTTACGACCCGAATCGGACGTTTGAGATTGAGAAGATGTGGTTCAACTCCTGCTTTGACAATCTTCGTCGCCTACGCACCAACATCCAGCTACGACGAAGAAGAACACGAAGCATTCTATATGGAATTGGAGAAGTTCTACAGGGAAGATCATACCTTCTTCAAGGTCATCGTCGGCGACTTCAACGCTAAGATTGGCCCAAGAAGAACGGCTGAAGAACTTCACATCGGTACTCACGGAATGGAATGGAATGAGCAGGGTGAGAGACTGTCGGAGTTTATCATGTCGACCAACACCATCCATGGTAACTCACAGTTCCAAAAGCCCCCTCACCTTCGTTGGACTTGGGAGTCACCTGATGGACAGTTCCATAACGAGATAGACCACATCATCTTCAATCGAAGGTTTTGCCTGACCGACGTCGCTGTTGTTCCGAAGTTCTACACGGGATCGGACCATCGTCTCCTCCGCGCAAAGTTCCACTTTCGATGCGTGTTGAGAGAGCTCAAAGTTCAGGAAGCGAAGCCCCAGGACAGTCATCAACTGGGACCACTTCGCTTCCCTCGTCAGCTTATGGGAGGATTCCGTCATCGAAAACATCGACGAGGAGTACTATCGGCTCGTTGAACATCTTCACGATTGTGGCAAGAAGGCAGAGAGTTTGAAAGTCACCAAGGGACGTCTGTCTCCGGAAACTCTCGAACTGATACGCCAGCGTGGAGCCGCACGAGCTGCAGGCAATCACCGACTCACGTCCGAGCTTGCGAAGCTATGCAGAGAGGCGATAAAGGAAGATCTCAAGGAGCGAAGAGCAGCAGTATTAGCTGAAGCAGCAGAGGCTGGGAGGAGCATCCGCAATGCCCGCCGAAGCTTTGCCAGCTACAAGACCAAGATGACCTGCCTCCGACGTCCGGATGGAACAGTTACTGCATCCCGAAGGGCAATGGAGAAAGTCATCCACGACTTCTACTCGGATCTCTTCGATAGCCATGTCCATCTGCCCACTTATCAACTGCAACAGGATGGATACGTCGTCCCCTCAGTTCTCTCTTCCGAAGTCCGACACGCCATCAAGTCGGTGAAGAATCGTACAGCACCCGGTCTCGACAGGGTCAAACCGGAACATCTGAAGAATGCGCCGCCAGTTCATCATCAAAACTCTGGCTCGACTCTTCACGCGCTACCTGTCGGAATGCAAGGTACCCACTCCGTGGAAAACCAGCAGGACCGTGTTGCTGTACAAGAAGGGAGACCTGGACGACATTGGCAACTATCGCCCAATCTGCCTGCTGTCTGTAATCTACAAGCTATTCACTCGAGTCATCCTTAACAGGATCGGCAGAATACTAGATGAAGGACAGCCATGCGAGCAAGCAGGGTTCCGAAGAGGGTTCAGCACGATCGACCATATCCACACGGTTACGAGACTCATTGAAGTTTCACGAGAGTACAAGATGCCGCTTTGTCTCACGTTCATCGACTTGAAGAAGGCCTTCGACTCTGTGGAGACAGAAGCGGTCATCGAAGCCTTGGGCAACCAGGGCGTCCCTACTCAGTACATCAAGATTCTTCGTGAGCTCTACAGCAACTTTACGACCAGAATCTCACCATTCTACAAGGAGGTCATCATCGACGTCAAGAGAGGGGTTCCGACAGGGCGACACCATCTCGCCCAAACTCTTCAGCGCCGCTCTCGAGAACGTCATGCGTCAACTGGAATGGGAAGACATGGGAGTGAAGGTCGACGGCCGGCAACTACACCACCTTCGTTTTGCTGACGACATCGTTCTTATAACGCCGAACATCGAGCAAGCGGAGCGAATGCTGGCTGATTTCGACTGCGCCTGTGGGTAAGGTCGGTCTACAGCTGAACCTAACGAAGACGATGTTTATGAGAAACGGATTGGTTCCTGATGCCCCATTCACGCTCAACGGAACGAACATCACCGAATGCTCCAGCTACGTGTACCTAGGTCGGGAAATCAATATGATGAACGATCTAGCTCCAGAGCTGAGCAGGAGGAAACGAGCGGCTTGGGGAGCGTATAAGAACATCGAGGGAGTAGTGAAGAAGACGAAGAACATCCGGCTCCGTGCCCACCTCTTCGATTCCGCTGTCCTTCCTGCCCTAACCTACGCCTCAGAGACTTGGACTCTGCGCAGGCAGGACGAGCATGCGGTCAGCGTTATCCAACGCGCTGTCGAGAGGACGATGCTAGGAGTAACCCTATACACGCAAGTGCAGAGGGGAATCCGGAGTTCCGAACTACGCCAACGATCGAAGATCAGGGACGCTGCCGTTTTCGCCAAGGAATCGAAGATAAGGTGGGCCGGACACGTCATGCGATTTTGCGATGACCGTTGGACCAGAGCGGTTACCGACTGGATCCCTCGGGACGTCAAACGAACACCTGGACGACCGCCGGCCCGATGGTCAGACTTCTTCACGAAAGCTCTGAACGAAAGGAATGAAGGACTTCGTGTCCCTCGAGCGAGGAGGGTCCACTGGACAACTCTTGCACGCGACAGGGACGAATGGAGACGTTGCTGGCGCCCGCTCGAGCAATTCGATGATCAACGGGACGACAGGTGATACAGGTGATGTAAGATTATAAGACTCGAGTACCAACAGTTTCTAT